CCCATGAACCTCCAAGTAGATTCTAGCCCGTGGCACCGTACATGACGAAGTCCGAGGCCCACAAGATCAACCCCAGGCTCCACTCGGAGGTTCATGGGTAGTTTAGGGTTTAGGGTTTAGGGTTTAGGGTTTAGGGTTTAGGGTTTAGGGTTACAAGTAGGGTTCTGAGTTGGGAGCTGTAGCTATGACCTGCATTAGGGGACTTATAACCACGCTTTTTGCTACACATGAATCTTCAAGTATGTCCAGGAAGAAACTCCCATAGCACCCCTTTGAACGGATCCCCGTAATTTAAGCGGCAATCTCCCGATTCATCTGAGGGCTTCTGCTTTCGTCGAGCAGCTTGGCTTGCACTTTTGTACTGTCCTTGGCACAAGTTGGAAGATTGATGTAGGTTCTTGATTGACAAACACGCCTCCCGAAACGAGGATCATAATCGGGATCCTGATGCTAAGGCACCTAAAGAACAGAAGTTGTTTACTGATTGGTGGACCTGGCAGCCAAGGTCTGGGCGCTGTCTTGCCACAGCGGAACTACTTGGAGGTTCATGGGTAGTTATAAGTAGGGCTATAAGTAAGCTAACTATCGTTATAACCTATGTTAGGGGACTTATGACTCCACTTATAACTACCCATGAACCTCCAAGTGGTGGACAAAACTCAGCACTACCTTACGCGGCCGAAGCCTTGGAGGGCTTCGCTCTGTAATGCACAGGGTTTAGGGTTTAGGGTGTAGGGGTTTAGGGTTTAGCAGGTGAAATCCTCCGCAGTAGCAGGGTCCTGCTGAACTGCGCAACCTGCATCCAAAATCCTAAACTCTAGCAATCCCTCAACCCTAGAAACACAACGAACTCTCGAAGCCCTGAACATCCTCAACTGCTCTCAATCCTTAAACATGCAAACAGTGCTTCCACAATGTACCAACCCTAAACCGAACCAACTATCCTTTGAGCGTCGAAGACGGCTGAAGAAAGCAACCTGCGCTTGACTAAGAAATAAACACAAAGACCATAGAATACAGGGAGCTTACTAATTAGAATACGGTTTTGGGGCCCACTATACTATAATTATAATAAGGAGCCCCCCAAAACAATACGGTAATTATTTAGGCCAATACAATAATCAGGATCCTTGACAGGGAGCATTTCTCAATGCAGGGATTTGGGCTTTCCGGAAGAGTTTGGGCCCACAGAGGCACACACACACATACACACGCATACACGATCAGGGTTTAGGGTTTAGGGGTTTAGGGTTTAGAGGGATGCTGCCTAGTAGCAATCTACAACAAGCCTCAATAGTTCGAAGAGGGTTTTGACGAACGTTAGAGTATAAGATGGTGTAATCATTTAGGGGCTGCAAGGGGGGGAGGAATGTCGCTATGTATCCAGGCCCTAGGTTTTGGGTTCTGGGGCTCTAGAGGGGGCATTCTGGAAGAGGCAATTCTTGCCTTATTTTAATGAGCTTCTTTGCGGGTGTGCTTGAACACACTTATAACCCAGTGATAGCTAGTTTTCTAACCGAGGTAGCTACGGCTTACAGTTCGAAACAGTCCAGTTTTCGGGGCCTTGGTACTTGGAATCGTGTTTCGGGGTGAATGAAGGGTACTTGGCACCCTTACATGTGGGGTATGGCCTGGGAAACCAGCGCGAACGTTGGGATGACCCTGACCAAACAAAATGCCGCACACTGACAACATATCTGGATCTTACTATGCATGCTTGGAGGTTCATGGGTAGTCGAAAGTAGGGTTATAAGTAGGGTAACTATAGTTATAAGCTATATTAAGGGACTTATAACTCCACTAATAACTACCCATGAACCTCCAAGTGAACCTTTCAGAAAAGCCACGAAGCAGGGATCTCCCGAAGGCTTTCCATTTAAATTGCTTTCACTTCCAGCCCAGGTTGTAATAAAAAACAAGTAAAGTAGATCATCCCCTGTTTAAAGAAAGGACAAGACTAGCACCCTGATTTTCTTAATATAGGCTCCTTAATGATTAGAATAGGGTTTTGCGGTAAATTATACTATACGTATAATAAGGCCCCCCCCCCCAAAAAAAA